GAGATGCTACTACAATATCATAACTTTTCAATGTATGAGGCATACAATACATTGATAGAATCATGATATTAAAGTCTATTCAGTTAAGAGTGATGCTTTTACTATCCATGAAGATGATCTAACAAGAGTTGTGCGCAAACCAAACCATTTTATTAAAACATTAAGGGAGGGAATATTGAACTTTGAAGAAGGAGGTTCTAACGAACCCCGCGCAAGTGATGGGATAGGCAAATGGAGGCTGACAAGCAAATCAATAAACTTTCCATCCAACAAATACATATTTAAATATAAGGATTTAATTGACAGCCGGGCGCCGGCGTATTTGGGTTTGGGTATGTGCAGGGCTGGGTCCTCTCTCTCTCTCTGTCTCTCTGTCTCTCTCTCTCTCTCTCTTTCTTTGAGACTTGGTGGGGCCTATATTGAGCAAAGTTAAGCTATCTGGTGCGCATGTGGTCTATGTTGGGCACATCTTGGGCCCAAGTTGAGCCTATGTTGGGCCTAGGTTGGGCCTATGTTTGGCCTATGTTGGCCTAGGTTGGGCCTATGTTGGCGTATGTTGGCCCCATGTTGGCCTATGTTGGCCCTATGTTGAGCCATCTTGGGGGCTATGTTGGGCATATGTTGGCTATCTTGGGCCTATGTTGGGGATATGTTAAGCAACTTATGTGCCCAACACCCACGAAATGTCGATTAAGCCTGTCCGCGCGGCACGCATAACCGACGCCACCGGCGCCCTGTTAGGCGCAAGTCATGTCCGCCGAAGGCCACGAAGCACTGTAAAAACTGATGTTTTTGAACATTTTTTGAACATCCTGCGCAAGATACATAGAGAGTGGAGTCCCGCCCCTGCCGCCGACCCTGCGCCGACCATGCAGAATACTGTGTTTTACAGTGTTTTCTGCTTCTTCCACTTTTCCGCTCTTGTGGCTCCAGATGGGCTAACATAACCCGAAAATAGGCACAAATAATGCTGGAAATGCGTGCCGCATTGGGGAGCTTCGTCTGCATCGTGGGCGGCTGCGGGGCCTACGTCCACACCCACAACTACCACCACGACAACCACAACAAGAGCAACCTCAACAACAACAACAACAACGACAACAACAACAACAACCAACAACCAACAACCAACAACCAACAACCAACAACCAACAACGACGACGACTACTACTACTACTCCTACTACCACTACTACGACGACTACTACTCTTACTACTACAACAACAACAACGAACAACAACAACAACAATAATAACAACCAAAACAACAACAACAATAACAACCAACCAACCAACCAACCAACCAACCAACCAACCTCCACCCTCACACCACACAACAACAACAACAACCACAACAAGAGCAACCTCAACAACAACAACCACCAACCTCCACCCTCACAACACAACAGCAACAACAACACCAACACCAACAACAACCACAACAACAACAAGAACAACCACAACAACAACCACAACACTGGAGACGAGGTGTTGCAGGAAAGGGCACGAGTCTGCGATGGCAGCCTCTTGTCCCCAGAGAGTTGCACAGCGGACGCCAACCACAACCGCGACCACACTGCCACCACAACCTCAACAACAACAACCACAACACCAACAACAACCACCACACCACAACCATCACAACCACGACCACCACCACTACAACCACAACACCCACCACAACCACTACCACCACCACAACAACATGCACACTCCCACGACTGCAACCAGCCCTTTGCTTGGGCCCCTGGCCGGCTGTCGGGCGTAAGCCCTTAAATAACCTTCGGTTACCTACCGAAGGCCTCCGGCAAGGGAACGTGCGCGTGGCCGGCGCCCGGATTTATGAGGCTTACGCCTGACAGCCGGGCGCCGGCCTATTTGGGTTTGGGTATGTGCAGGGCTGGGTCCTGTCTCTCTCTCTCTCTTTGTCTCTCTGTCTCTCTCCCTCTCTCTCTCTCTTCTCTCTCTTCTCTCTCTTCTCTCTCTCTCTCTCTCTTTGAGACTTGGTGGAGCTATCTGGTGCGCATCTTGGCCCTAGGTTGGGCCAAGTTGAGCCCATGTGGTCTATGCTGGGCACATCTTGGGCCCAAGTTGAGCCTATGTTGGGCCTAGGTCGGCCTATGTTAGGCCTATGTTGGCCTAGGTTGGGCCTATGTTGGGCCTATGTTGGCGTATGTTGGCCCCATCTTGGCATATGTTGGCCCTATGTTGAGCCATCTTGGAGGCTATGTTGGGCATATGTTGGCTATCTTGGGCCTATGTTGGGGAAATGTGAGGCAACTTATGTCCCCAACACCCACGAAATGTCGATTAAGCCTGTCCGCGCGGCACGCGTAACCGACACCACCGGCGCCCCGTTAGGCGAAAGTCGTGTCCGCCGAAGGCCACGAAACACTGTAAAAAACATACCACGAGTAACCGTGCTCATCCATGGGGTACGCTATAATGCGAGAAAGGCACCTCAAGTGTCCAATTTTGCGGGCGCGGAGCGCTAGAGCGGGCGTCGAGCGGCGCTGCAGGGCACCGGACAACCAAAGAGAAGGCCATAAAGAAAGGGCGGAACAATGGAAAGACAGGAAGCTTAGGGCGCCGAGCGGGAGCAGGAGGATCGAGGGGGGGGTACCTTTAGGAATTCCATTTTAATATTCCATTTGCACAGCCAACATGTTTCCAGTTTTATCTCCGCGTGGCCCCGAGAAATTTTGACAAGCGACGCGGTTGAATGGGAAAGAGGCTTCAGCAAGCTCACTGAATACAAGTCTGAGCATGGAGATGCCAGGGTGCCCACCAGATTCAAGACTTTGATGGCTTTCCGCTTTGGCAGACAGGGAAAGAAAAAAAAGTGCCAAGATCGTGTGAACCGCTTGAATTTCACTTGACCATGCTGGCATGATTGAATATGATGGTCTTGCTTTGAATGTAGCCAAAAATCAAAAAAACAAGGAGCATCGCTTACGCCCCGCGGGCGTAAGCAACGCGACCTTTTGGACGGCACCGCGGTCCCACTGCTCGGAGCTCCCTGAGGGTCCGCATCGCTTACGCCCCGCGGGCGTAAGCAACGCGTCCATGCAGTGTACTAGGCAACGCGTCCACGCAATGTAAATCAAGGTCTGTTTCTTTGATTTAACGCTCGATGTAACAAGATATACAACCCAACGCTCGCTTGTTTTGCGCTTCGAAATACCAGATGCCTGGGCCCCTATCCAATGCTTTTTTTGTTCTCGACCAAAAACAGGACGCAGCCCAAAAGAGACCAAAAAGATGACGCCAAAAGATCAAAAACACAACCCAAATGATGCAACATATGAACAATGGAAAGGAAGCAAGCTTAGGGCGCCGAGCGGGCGCCGAGCGGCGCTGCAGAGTGCTGCGGGACAACCAAAGAGAAGGCCAGAAAGAAAGGATGGAATGATGGAAAGACAGGAAGCTTAGGGCGCCGAGCGGGCGCCGAGCGGCGCTGCAGGGTGCCACGGGACAACCAAACCGAAGGCCCGAAAGAAAGGATGGAACAATGGAAAGACAGGACGCTTAGGGCGCCGAGCGGGAACCGAGCGCGAAACGAGCGGGAACCGAGCGGGCGTCGAGCGGCGCTGCAGGGTGCCACAGGACAACCAAAGAGAAGGCCAGAAAGATAGGATGGAGCGATGGAAAGACAGGAAGCTTAGGGCGCCGAGCGCTCCGAGCGGGCGCGGAGCGGCGCTCACAACGCCGAGGGGGCGTCGAGCGGCGCTGCAGTGTGCCACGGGACAGCGAAAGAGAAG